TCAGCCCAATGAGCCCATCACCTCAACCGGCTTCCTGAGAGGAGTCATTATGAGGCATATGCACAGGACATAGCTCCTCACAGCTGGTTGAGGTGAATAAGTCCTTCCTAACATACTAATAATACCACACATATATACTGTATATTAGCTAATATTGTACCGTAGAAATGGCAACTGCATTTGGCTATTGGTAAGACTGTCATAGTGGAGAAATGACAGGAATTCAGCCAGAGGCCATAACTCTCATAGATTTACAAGCTGATATGGGTGGTACCCATTTCCCTGTCATTTGTAGCTGAAGACACTGAGGTGTTTGGGCTGAAGTGGTGATGTCAGCGATGCTCCTTTAAGGAGTGGCGGGATAATGCCAGAGTGACAGGGGAAGACGAACGACCCTATACCTTCCAACACCTGTGATGTCAGATCTCTGGGAAGAGATATACTACTCTACCAGAGATGGCAGGCTTTCAGCAGCTTACGCACACCACAAGCCCTCCAAGCCTCAGTCGTCACCATCACAGCAGTGGATCTTGCACGCCTTGTTCTTGCTGCTGTGGAGTTCTCCTCAGGTAGACATTTATTTAATACCTGTGAAACTATGAACAAAAACTCACTCACTCACACACTCTCATGTATGCTGTGCATGAAGCACACAAGCAAACACACAGAAAAAAAAAAGAAAGGGCAGCTACTACCCAATGATGATACAAAAAAAATCGAAGTGAACATCCTGATCGCAGCAGCTAAATGCTAAACGAATATACATACACATGTGATTCACTGTTTGCAGAATGTCAACCTGCAGCCATAGAAGGCCATCGAATGGGAGGACAAGGAGGACTATAAAATCGGATTGACAGAAGTATCACCACATTTAGTATGATAAGATAGAGCTCAGATAACCCCTCATGATTAGAAGAGACTGTAGGCAGTAAGCAGGAGGCAAAGCCTGGCTCTGGAGGAAGTGTCAGCTTGCCTGACCGCATTGAGGAGCTGTCAGGGAGATGAACGATCACCCAGGTGGTATCTAGCCTACATTCAAGCAGCTGCTGGGGGTGTGTCTGGAGCCTACTCAAGCCATGCTACAGTATCCTGCTCATATCTCGGTCACCCAAACTACCCATCTCCCTCTCTCCCTCTCTCCCTCTCTCTCTCTCTCTCTCTCTCTCTCATCCTCTCTATCTTTCTCTCTCTCTCCGTCTCTCTCTCTCTCCCCTCTCTCGCTCTCTCCCCTCTCTCTCAATTCAATTTCAATTTCAATTTAAGGGCTTTATTGGCATGGGAAACGTATGTTAACATTGCCAAAGCAAGTGAAGTAGACAGTAAACAAAAGTGAAATAAACAATAAATATTAACAGTAAACATTACACTCAGAAGTTCCAAAAGAATAAAGACATTTCAAATGTCATATTATGTATATATATATATAGTGTTGTAACAATGTGCAAATAGTTAAAGTACAAATGGGAAAATAAATAAACATAAATATGGGTTGTATTTACAATGGTGTTTGTTCTTCACTGGTTGCCCTTTTCTTGTGGCAACAGGTCACAAATCTTGCTGCTGTGATGGCACACTGTGGTTTTTCACCCAGTAGATAAGGGAGTTTATCAAAATTGGGTTTGTTTTTTAATTCTTTGTGGATCTCTGTAATCTGAGGGAAATATGTGTCTCTAATATGGTCATACATTTGGCAGGAGGTTAGGAAGTGCAGCTCAGTTTCCACCTCATTTTTTGGGCTGTGTGCACATAGCCTGTCTTCTCTTGAGAGCCAGGTCTGCCTACGGCGGCCTTTCTCAATATCAAGGCTATGCTCACTGACTCTGTACATAGTCAAAGCTTTCCTTAAGTTTGGGTCAGTCACAGTGGTCAGGTATTCTGCCACTGTGTACTCTCTGTTTAGAGCCAAATAGCATTCTAGTTTGCTCTGTTTTTTTGTTAATTCTTTCCAATGTGTCAAGTAATTCTCTTTTTGTTTTCTCATGATTTGGTTGGGTCTAATTGTGTTGTTGTTGTTGTCCTGGGGCTCTGTGGGGTCTGTTTGTGTTTGTGAACAGAGCCCCAGGACCAGCTTACTTAGGGGACTCTTCTCCAAGTTCATCTCTTTGTAGGTGATGGCTTTGTTATGGAAGGTTTGGGAATCGCTTCCTTTTAAGTGGTTATAGAATTTAACGGCTCTTTTCTGGAATTTGATAATTATTTTGGAACACCATTATTTCTGTCTTACTGAGATTTACTGTCGGGGCCCAGGTCTGACAGAATCTGTGCAGAAGATCTAGGTGCTGCTGTAGGCCCTCCTTGGTTGGTGACAGAAGCACCAGATCATCAGCAAACAGTAGACATTTGACTTCAGATTCTAGTAGGGTGAGGCCGGGTGCTGCAGACTGTTCTAGTGCCCTCGCCAATTTGTTTATATATATGTTGAAGAGGGTGGGACTTAAACTGCATCCCTGTCTCACCCCACGGCCCTGTGGAAAGAAATGTGTGTGTTTTTTGCCAATTTTAACCGCACACTTGTTGTTTGTGTACATGGATTTTATAATGTTGTATGTTTTTCCCTCAACCCCACTTTCCATTCATTTGTATAGCAGACCCTCATGCCAAATTGAGTCAAAAGCTTTTTTGAAATCAACAAAGCATGAGAAGACTTTGCCTTTGTTTTGGTTGGTTTGTTTGTCAATTAGGGTGTGCAGGGTGAATACGTGGTCTGTTGTAAGGTAATTTGGTAAAAAGCCAATTTGACATTTACTCAGTACATTGTTTTCATTGAGGAAATGAACTAGTCTGCGGTTAATGATAATGCAGAGGATTTTCCCAAGGTTGCTGTTGATGCATATCCAACGGTAGTTATTGGGTCAAATTTGTCTCCACTTGGGGTGATCAGTCCTTGGTTCCAAATATTGGGGAAGATGCCAGAGCTAAGGATGATGTAAAAAAGTTTAAGTATAGCCAATTGGAATTTGTGGTCTGTATATTTTATAATTTCATTGAGGATACCATCAACACCACAGGCCTTTTTGGGTTGGAGGGTTTGTATTTTGTCCTGTAGTTCATTCAATGTAATTGGAGAATCCAGTGGGTTCTGGTAGTCTTTAATAGTTGATTCTAAGATTTGCATTTGATCATGTATATTATTTTGCTGTTTGTTCTTTTCCGTAGTGTATTTCTGTATTGTTTTAGTGATTCACCATAGTGAAGGCGTAGGCTCAGGTTTTCTGGGTCTCTATGTTTTTGGTTGGATAGGTTTCTCAATTTCTTTCTTAGGTTTTTGCATTCTTCATCAAACCATTTGTCACTGTTACAAGATTTTTTGATTTGATAGGGAAGCTGAGAGATCAAATATACTGTTTAGGTTTTCTACTGCCAAGTTTACAACTTCACTATTACAGTGGAACGTTTTGTCCAGGAAGTTGTCTAAAAGGGATTGAATTTGTTGTTGCCTAATTGTTTTTTGGTAGGTTTCGACACTACTTTCCTTCCATCTATAGCATTTCTTAACATTATTCAGTTCCTTTGGCTTTGATGCCTCATAATTGAGTATTGCTCTGTTCAAGTAGACTGTGATTTTGCTGTGGTCTGATAGGGGTGTCAGTGGGCTGACTGTGAACGCTCTGAGAGACTCTGGGTTGAGGTCAGTGATAAAGTCCCCTCAAAGCCTGCCATTGACTATGTACATACCCAGCGTGCGACAGAGCTGCAGGAGTTGTGACACGTTTTTGTTGGTTATGTTGTCGTAGTTGTGCCTAGGGGGGTATATGGGGGAGAGAATGCTGTCACCTCCAGGTAGGTGTTTGTCCCCCTGTGTGCTGAGGGTGTCAGGTTCTTGTCCAGTTCTGGCATTTAGGTCGCCACAGACTAGCACATGTCCCTGGGTCTGGAAATGATTGATTTTCCCTTCCAGGACGGAGAAGCTGTCTTCATTAAAGTATGGGGATTCTAGTGGGGGGATATAGGTAGCACACAGGAGGAAATTTTTCTCTGTTGAGAAAATGTCCTTTTGAATTTCTAGCCAAATGTAAAATATTCCTGTTTTGATTAATTTAATAAAGTGAGTTAGGTCTGCTCTACACCAAATTAGCATACCCCCTGAGTCCCTTCCCTGTTTCACACCTTGTAGTTTGGTGGATGGGACTACCAGCTCTCTGTAACCAGTGGGTCCGTCTCCTCTATACCATGTTTCTTGTAGGATGACAATGTCTGTATTTCCGATTTCTTTGGTGAAGTCCAGGTTCCTGCTCTTTAGGCCAAAGGCAGATGACCTCAGGCCTGGGATATTCCAGGATGAAATAATGAAGGCTTTTTGTTCCATAAAGTGTCTAATGTTGTTGGTCATGTGGTTTGGCCTCAGGCCAGTAATTATGCTCTCTCTCCTCTCTCTCTCTCCCTCTTTCTCTCTCTCTCTCCCCCTCTCTCTCTCTCCCCCTCTCTCTCTCCCTCTCTCAATAAAATAATAAATGAACATGGTTGCAATTGCAAATTTCATCCATTCATACAGTTTAATAAAAAATAAAATAAAAACTTGAGTTCAGTCTCTTGAACAATTACTATACAATGAAAATACACAATACAATGTTGAATTTGCTATTATGAGTTTCAGTCTTTTGAGTACAACTTTGTTTTAGTGTAGCACGAATTAAGCTATTATCAGGAGAAGGAAATATTGTTTATTCAATGAACCAATCGACTTTGGTCAGTTAGCCATTTCTTAACATTTAGAATTTACATTTCACATGTTCTCAAGTCTGTACGAAATAAATAGCACAATTTTGCTCATTTACAGCTTGGCTGAAAAAAAGGGTTATGGTTGGTTCATAATTAAATGGCATACAAATTAATTTGATAATCATGTACTCACCAGTGGAGGCTGCTGAGGGGAGGACGCTTATGATAATGGCTGGAATGGAGTTTAATGGCTGGAATGGAGTGAATGGAATGGTATCAAACACATGACATATGTGTTTGCTAACATTCCATTGACTCCATTCCAGCCATTATTATGACCCATCCTCCCCTCAATAGCCTCCACTGGTACTCACTAGTTACATCACAAAATATTATCCTTTTAAATAAAGCTTTTCAGATTCATAAGTAACTTCAAGAGCATGTTGTAGTTAAATAAATAGAATGTTTTCCATTTTAACATGCACAACCAATCTGTTTGGGAAAGTATTTACACTAAACAGACACTACACTCCATATTTCTTTTTCTAAAGGTGAATATGTCTACGCTCTTTCTCGGATGGACACACACTCACATCCTCTCTTGCGAACACACTGTCTATTTACTATGAACACCATATATTCTCTTTAGGGCTACAACTATCAATGTGAATGCATTATAAAGAGGAAATGGAGTTCAAAACAGCATTCTGACATCTCAATAATTCACATGATTTTTTTAAAGGGTTTTTCACTTTTATGGTCATAGGATTAACTATGGAGTCATGCATTATGAGAACTGGTAGGCCTGTAGTATTTGGTTAGAGGTTTTTAAATCAGTGGCTCCATGAATTTTCTTTAGGTGGACAAAGAAATATGTGCTACTTCTGTGACAGTAATATACAAATATGCTACCAATAATCTCTAGAAAGGAAAAGAAAATAGTATTTTCCCAAGTAACCTCAGTTGAGAAACTAGTTTCTCTCTCTTTGAGTCCATTGTCTGCAAATGATCCAGGAGTCATTGGAAGAGGTTGTTGCTTATGCCTTGTCCATAGCAGTGTGGAAACTCCTTGATGTGAAGCAGTTGAGGAAGTTGAGAAGCAGAGTTTGTGGATGATCTGCTATATTACGTAACATAATTTCTGTATGTGGTTCTTTCATGATGCAAAGTAAGAGTTCTGCATGGAATAGAGTCGGTCAATGGGTCCCACACGTGCTTGCATGTTCACTTCCGAAGATGCCATGAAGCAGTCACTGAGGCTGGTTAAAGATGTGTCACTGTCTATGTCATGGAAAATTGAGTCATTACCTGTAAAGAGAAAGAGAAAAATAAGTTGCAAGAATATAATCATGTACAGTAAAAAAAAAATATGCATGGGGCATTGAATAAAAGCAAACTGCAACTTCCAATTGCAATGATAATACATCTGATATACTGTATTTATGACTGTCTTGAAAAGTGATAATTGTTAGTCTTGAATCCCACTTTGAATGATTGTTATTACATGCTAGTGTAATTCTGAAAACTGTTTTGACAATAACTCTCTGAAGGCATTGTCCTGCCTCTCTGGGACACTTACTATGGAACTGAGAGGAACATGTCAACAAAGAACTTAATATGCATTTCATAATTTCTTGTCCTATTATTTTCCTTGCGGGAATTGTTAACTTTATTGCACTCCAGATTTTAATGACGCTGACGGGGACAGAGTGATGAAGAGACATATCGTTTAATGTGTTGGCAATATCATCCTTCCCTCTATTTATCCCATAAAAACAGAGAGAGTGTGATGAGACTGGGACTTTGGGTGTTGCAATTGCAAGAAACAAAAAAGTGGTTTAAGAAAAGTATATAAAGTTCAGGAAGCTATCTTTATGGGGTTGGAGACACTGCTCAGAATTGTCTTCTAACAGTTTCACCCCGTGTAAGTAAAGGGAAGAATAAAATAAGAGATTCAAAATTGATTAAAATATTTGTGTTTCTTGCTTGCAGCTGCATCCCTCTGATTGTCACATTAATCACATAATATGGTTATTTCCCATCGTGGCACATTATTCACTCATCATGGTCACCATTGTTTTGATTATAATTTACCGCGAGCCCTTTGGATTATCTAAAAGCTCTTCACATAGTCCGCAATGCAAACTGTTAGATAGCATAGCAGAGCATGTCACCAAACCCCATGCACAGAGAGAATATAGCGAGTGATTGTGGGGTGGGAGGAGGAGGGTAGTAGAAAACATGTTGGATTGATTAAAAAATGTACTTCAAAATAAACCAGTGGCCTGTGAGTATGTTTGTGTCATCTCATGTGGGAGGGGGGGGGGGGGTGCTTGTACTTTGTGCGAGCAGCCTAAACCAGGGGTCTGTGGCCTGAACACATGTCCCACACTGGGGAGCGTGTGAGGTTGAGTAGAGGGGCAGGAGGACTGATGCTCACCATATGGGTTCATGTGGTCCCCGGGCATCTGTGGGGGGGTGAGGCCCTGCTGGAAGGGGTCCGTACTGTAGCCGTTCTGATCCATGGCAACCAGCTGCTGCTGGGGAGGGGCCAGTGGTGTGAAGGAGTTCATCATGCCCTCCATCCGATTGGACATCACCTCTGTAACACAGCCAACCACATGGAGAAAGACTTTACATTAAGACTGCTATCGAAGAGGCATTTATCTGATAAGCATTTTTCAGCTGGAAGGAAAGCCATCAACTCGAAATCTAATACAGAAACTAGACCAAGAGCACTGTCTCCATGGAAACCCTCCCTGCTCTGCTGTGGCCAAGGGAGATTCTCCCAGCATTTCCTGGTAGAAGGTTGCTCTTCACTCACTCAGTGGTGAGTGGGATGCACACACAGCCCTTGTGGGTTTCAGTCTAGAGCCCACCACCCTGCACTTTCCTTTACAGTTGTGCGCCCTTGTGAAAAGATATCTGTCATTCATTTATTTTTATATGTTCTTGTGATTTTTTCTTGTTTAAGTTAACTGCACAGAATGGATTTGTTATCTTAAATACATACAATGCCTTCAGAAAGTATTCATACCCCTTGACTTATTCCACATTTTGTTATTACAGTCTGAATTTAAAATGGATGAAATCAAATAAAAAATCTACACACAATACCCCATAATGACAAAGTGAAAACATGTTTGATCATTGCTAGACAACCATTTTCAGGTCTTGCCATAGATTTTAAAGTAGTTTTAAGTCAAAACTGTAACTCGGCCACTCAGGAACATTCAATGTCTTCTTGGTAAGCAACTCCAGTGTAGATTTGGCCTTGTGTTTTAGGTTATTGTCCTGCTGAAAGGCATAGTCATCTCCCTGTGTCTGATGGAAAGCAGACTGAAGCAGGTTTTCCTCTAGGATTTTGCCTGTGCTTAGCTCCATTCCATTAATTTTTTATCCTGAAAAACTCCCCAGTCCTTCACCATTACAAGCATACCCTTAACATGATGCAGCCACCACTGTGCTTGAACATATGGAGTGGTACTCAGTAATGTGTTGTGTTGGATTTGCCCTAAACGTAACACTTTGTATTCAGGGCAAAAAGTTAATTGTTTTGCCAAATCTTTTGCAGTATTACTGTAGTGCCTTGTTGCAAACAAGATGCATGTTTTGGAATATGTTAATTCTGTACAGGCTTCCTTCTATTCACTCTGTCAATTAGGTTAGTATTGAGGAGTAACTACAATGTTCTTGATCCATCCTCATTTTTTTGCTATCACAGCCATTAAACTGTGTAACTGGTGAAATCCCTGAGTGGTTTCCTTCCTCTCCGGCAACTAAGTTAGGATACACCATCCAAATTGTAATTAATAACTTCACCATAGTCAATGGGATATTCAGTGTCTGCTTTTTATTTGTTTTACCCATCTACCAATAGGTTGCCTTCTTTGTGAAACATTGGAAAACATTCATGTTCTTTGTGGTTGAATCTGTGTTTGAAAGTCACTGCTTGACTGAGGAACCTTACAGATAATTGTATGTGTGTGGGGTACAGAGGTGAGGTAGTCATAAAAAAATAATGTTAAAACACTATTATTGCACACAGAGTGAGTCCATGCAACTTATTATGTGACTTGTTAAGCACATGTTTACTCCTGAATTTATTTAGGCTTGCCATAACAAAGGGGTTGAATACTTATTGACTCAAGACATTTTAGCTTTTCTTTTTTAATGAATGTGTAAAGATGTTGAAAAACATAATTACACTTTGACATTATGGGATATTGTGTGTAGGCCAGTGACAAAAAAATCTAAATTTATTCCATTTTAAATTCAGGCTGTAACACAACAAAATGGGGAAAAAGTAAAGGGGTATGAATACTTTCTGAAGGCACTGTATATCCTATCTCCTCCCATACTATCCTATCCACAGTATGCACTTTTGGGCAACAGCATTTCAGGGCATGACTACAAGCCTTTTCCTAGAGAGTTTGACAAAAGGTCCATAAATTAACACACCACGAGGTCAGTCTTACAAACTGGTCCATAAAATGAAAGCATTATTACATTAAGTTTATACTGTAACCGGAAATGATTCAATGAGCTTCATGGCTTTTCAGTACCAAGGCATTGTAGTTGTTCAGTAATACAATGTCAATGTAAGCCTTGGGATTTCCACAGTAAAGAAAGATAGAGCTGCTTTAGCTTGTAAAACTATAATTTCTCTAATGCAACATCTCTTAAATCGTGAATCTTATGTCTACTGTAAACTTTGTGTGTTTTCTTACCATACTGTGAGATCCTTCCTCCATAGTGGATGTATGCCTTTCCAATTGAGCTTTTGTCTATGACTGGATTGATATCATTACCACAATTTAATCTAAAAATCCCAATCTAATATGATTTGTAAACATTTTACAACTGCTTTAGGTATTATGCCTGGCGGTGTGTTACCATGGTATTATCTGCAATATTTTTTCATTTTCCTCTGTTTTTATTTGCCTTGAATTCTGAGAAGATTGTCTGTGAACACGTGTTGGTGTGGCTCTAACGCTGTGTGTGTATGACATCATTACAGGAGTGCAGTATCTGAACGGGGACGTGAGAGTTGGACCTGGCTACAGCATGCAGACTACAGTACTCACACAGGACGGGTCATCTAATTTACAAGGATGCTTAACAGGGTTTGAGTTGTAAATCTCCCCACCCACACACACAGCTGACACGGTCTCTCCTGTACCACGCCTGACTGGGGCCACAGACGCTAGCTAGCCTCCTCCACCTCCGCACACCAGTGGACACTAGGGATAATATGAGTGAGGTCACACATGAGCAGAAGCCATTACGACCGTTCTACTCCCATGGTTCGCATGTTGCCTCAATGAATGCCATGTTTTGGAGTGGTTACACAGAGCTGTGGTTTACAGTATGTGATTATCCTGCCTCTGTGCTTCTCATTGAAGTGCCATGCTACACGTTTAGCTGGCTGAAACATCATTTTCATTTCTGCTATGTGATAATCCCAGATCACAATTTAAACATCAAGTCAAATGCAAAATAACTGTCTAAAGTCATGGTAATAACAGCTGTTTTTAAACTACTGAAACAGCTATTGAAAACGATACTGGGACAGTGGTTATTGCCCTATTTCAGGCCGAACTGAAAGCTGTGTCCTGTACCTTGGCCAAGCCGTTGAGAATTTTGTTGTTCCTGTTGCTGCTGCTGTCTTCTTGCCAGCTTCTTCATCTGAAAAAAAGGAGACAGTTTTAAGTAACTCCCCAAACTAACATGTGCTCTTTTTAATTTGAAAACGATGCTCCTTGTTGCTCACCCCTGAGTGAACTACAGGAACACGTATCTGACTATACTTCATTATCAAAGGCTTTTGAAGATAATATCAAAAAAAGAGGTGGGTGTATACATCTAATGGAAGACTGAGGTAGATTTGCAAGCGTTGCACTTTAACTTTACAGAGTTGAAAGGAATGCAATGAAAAAGTTTAATTTATCGTTGATAGCTGTGGTGATTTGTTAGCTGTATTACAGTAATGTTTTGCTCATTCCAGCCAATCCATGTGTACCATTGCTGTTGCTACTTTGGTCTCTTGATTAGTAGCAAATAACATCATTATCTCAAATAACACTGCCTTTGGGGTGGTTATGCTCTCACCTTGGCTCTCTGGTTTTGAAACCACACCTGCACCACACGAACACTGAGGCCTGTCTCAGCAGCCAGAGTCTCCCTCACCTTTAATAGTCAACACAAAAGCATTTCAACATCACACAAGAAAACAAACTTAACTACAGATTGGAATCGTATGTGCTTTTTGAAAAACCTTTGGCATATATCCAAGTGGGCGCCTTGACTCTCTATTTGCTTTGATTTCAAATGTTGAATTAATGTGGTGGTCTTTTTGGACCTCTTGGTTACTGCCTCTTCAAAGCTTTGGACCGGGTGCAGTGAATGCTTTTAGGGCCTACGCTAAATGCAGTTCCTCTCTCTCAGAATGTCATTTGGCGCAGGGCAGGCGGGCTACGTTACCCTCTACCTCAGTTAACACAGACCAGAGTGCTGCTTGCCACTTCAAAGCACCGCTCTGAGGTGCTGGAGATTTTTAGATTTGAGAATTTTATTTGTAAAACTACTGTAGGCCTCATGGCATGCCTCCAATTCTAAACATGCCAGTCTGTCCAGGGGGATATTATAAAGTATTAGTATGGATTTGCATCGACCATATACTACAAAAACACCTCAAAGCAAGCTTAAAATATTGATTTTGTTTCACAAAACCCAGGTTTCAGTTCACAATGTGTGGATAATGCAGCCATGCAGACATTTCAAATAGCTTTCCCAATGTAGGCCGTTCTTACAGTTCATTTTCTGTACATATACTTGTTCCTCAGCTACTTTTGTGCTCAAACTGAAGCCAGCTGTCTTCACGCAAGAGGTTAAATAGAGTGTTAGTTTTCACCTCTGTTCAGTGTTCAGTAGGCAGACAGTGGGATTACATGTGTCTGTCCTTCTGTCTGTCTGTCTGTCTGTCTGTCTGTCTGTCTGTCTGTCTGTCTGTCTGTCTGTCTGTCTGTCTGTCTGTCTGTCTGTCTGTCTGTCTGTCTGTCTGTCTGTCTGTCTGTCTGTCTGTCTGTCTGTCTGTCTGTCTGTCTGTCTGTCTGTCTGTCTGTCTGTCTGTCTGGTGAGAGTAGAGCTGCTGTGGTGGAGACCAGGTCATGTGGAGGACAGGAGAGGGCCTCACCTTTCTGCAGGGTTTGGATGACACCTCGAAGGAGGCTTTGAAAGCTCGTCTCTGCTGAGTGGTCAGAATGGTGCGGGGTCGCTTGGGTCTCCTTGGATCCTTCCCATCATCTCCCTTCCCCTGGCCACCCGTGCCTTTCTCCTGCTTGATATCCAGATCCTCATCGTCGCTTTTCTCTGCATGGAGATACAGACATTTTTCACCAATATCAGCATGAGTTTGAGCTGACAACATCCCTGACAGTCTACTGATAAATATATGTTTTTGTTCTTTTCAATTCCAAGAGATTCCGACTTCACAAGTGTATCCATAATGAATGGAGACACATGTGGTTTTAATACTTTCTTATCAATTTATTACAAAAACAATAGGCCACATGCACGATTAGACATTCAGAGGACTGTAGTTCTTACCAGAAAAGCATAATGGAAAATGCACATTTGTCATTAGATTTGACATTGTGTCATTGGTAATTCATTACACTGGCTGTTTTACACCAAATAAATCTTTGATAAGAATCCTACATAGCAGATCCACCACAACATGAAAAGGCAGCATGAGCACATATGGGAAATTCACTCAAGATATCAAAGGAAATGGGAAATATATATTTTAGAACCACACAAACTCAAAATAATAGGAAAATGCACATTGGGTCCCAACAGACAAAAATACTGAAGGGAGGCTATGCATAAAGAGTAAAATGAAGTATGAAAAAAAAAGAATGTATGCACTCACTAACTGTAAGTCACTCTGGATAAGAGCGTCTGCTAAATGACTAAAATGTAAATGTAAAATTGCAAAAAGTTACCAAAAGGTGGAAAGCTGATGTAGATTGTATTGTCTATGGTAATTGCATGTGTCCATAAAGGGATCTTGATGTTTCTCTCTATTGGCACACATTAAGTGCCATCTTAACCAACTAGCTAAATTGCTTTATCATCAAAATAGTCTGCTAATCTAATAAGCAATATCAGTGTAATAGAAAGATAATCATAATTATAACACTAAACATAATGGGTTTGAATCCTGTGTTGAATAATGTATCCCCAATGCATTAGTAAGATAATATAAGGCCTGTGTGAGTGAAAGGCGGTGTTCTCAGAAGCAGCAGCAATGTCAATTCAAGCAACAAATGATGTGGGCTTCCAGTGATTGCTTAGAGATGCATACATGATGGTTCTGTTCTGTCTGCTGTCATCTGGTTCTGATCATCTCTACTGTAAATAGTGTGGTGTAGTAGGCCAAACTGCATTTCTCCAGTTGATTTCAACATTCTGTCTGACATATACGTCAAAGTTATACTCTGTGCATGTCAACTCGGGAATTTTGGAGACCCTCCATAAACTGCCTGTGTGATTCACTGGGATAAAACGAAGAGCGGAAGTGAAACAAATATTCCTATAAGTTGACAAAAGTGTACACAGGCACAGATGCGTTTGACAAGTTCTCTGTCTTTGTGTTTAAATGAGAGCCAGATGGGTCTGAACAGTAAGGCTTGGTGAGATGCCTCATTGTATGGAGGTGAGGATGCAAGGAACACAGAGGAGCAGATAAGAGGTGCTCCGCTCGGCCCTCCGCAGAAAGGCCCCAAATCCTCCCATCAGTCACCATGATACACTGATTTAATTCCTTCCAGCACAACAGCCCGCCAACACAAGAACCCAACAGCCATTAATACAGATTGGCTTCTGCTCCCTGCCCATAATATTACTATTAGAATAAAATGAATCACAAAAAACTGGGGATCTCACCCAGAATATGTTTTTGAGATAAGATTTGGTCCTAGGAAAGGAAATAGTGCTACCTGAGTCGGAGTTGTCTGGGCTGACAGAACTGAGCAGGTCCTTCTCCTTCTCATAGTCACTCTTGCATAGCAGCTGGCCCTCCTTCAGGACAAACTCATCCCCTTTCCTCAGCTGCCGGTCACATACACAGCAGGAGAAGCAGTTTAAGTGGTACACACACTCCAGAGCACGCATCACAAATTCTGTGGGGGAGATCTTCTCCAGGCATCCGCTGCACTTGGTGGCAAACAATCTATGGAAGAAGATGAGAGAAAATCTAGCATTACTAATCACTGCATTGAAAACGTATGTAACATTAATATTATTATTTCATCACAGAATCTTATACTTAGTCTCCCTAGCTTGGCCTGTCACCATGGGCTTTTGATTAAGAGGGTTTGGGGGCAGGGGGCAGGCGGCTGTGGGCTGATCCTGTGGGCAGCCAGTACCAGTAAGTGATTCTTTTGACTGGAGCTCATGTGTTAAAGTGCCTAGGGTTGCCCCAGCCCCACGCCACTCCAACAGCGCTCGGTCATGGGCACCCAAATGCCTCTTAGCCTCAGACAGCTGGCCAACACTGGGTTCAGTCAGTTATAATGCTCAATTAGAATCAGCACATTAAAACCCTACACATGTCCTTTTCACCTTTTCACTTGTTTATCGTAATCACCGTTTCTCTGTCGGATTAGCATCTGATATATTTGGCCCTATGCAACTGTTGCAATGGGTTGTCAGCATGGTCTGTTGGAGTAATACCTTGGAACTGGAACATGCCCACTGTGTCCCCTCCCCATACTATTCTACACCCACTATATCTGTTTATTCATCTCCTCCTACTTATCAGACCTCATCTGGCCATCCTAAACCAGCCTCTATGGTACATTGCAACATTACCAGTACCCAGACAACACCTCCATCTTCCTTTCTATCCTTTCAGGAAGATGTCAAACTGTTTGTACTGTTTTATTGGTGGCTGGGAGAGTTTTTAATTCATGTGTTGTTGTTCAGAAGGAGCCCCATTAGCTGGAGCAAGGAGACAGAGAGTGTGGTTGATTTTGTCCAGCCATGAAGTTGGATTTACTAGCATGCTCTTTGTTTGCGTTGGTCTGGAGGACAGCTGGCAGCCGCCTATCTATTTGTGGTGAACATCTATTTCATTGTGCAAGGGAGCAATTGACATCATCTGCTGTTTCAGGACAGGGATGAGCGATAGTGATGAATATGTGTAAATATGAGGGGAGAGAAACCCAGGGAAGGTTTTGTCATGCTAATTTTATTGTAGATGCTGAATTAAAACTTATAGGGAGTTTGTGTCTGCCACACAGTTCAGTAGAGCAGCTGTTTGCATGGTTGAAACAAGATAGTACACGTTTGGTTGCTGTCTCTAGTCTCTACATCTCATATTAGGTCCATCATTGAGCTGCCATTTACTACAGATCAGACTGTACTACAAATCAGACTGGTTCTACACCAGTGGATGGGTAATTTTATAAGCTATCCAATAGTATCATCATCACAATCCTCATTACCATCAAAATCATTGATAATAGAGCAAATATGACATTTTCTTAATGGTTATAACCTCCAGATATAATGTTTAATACAAAATATGCCATTATTATCCAAAGTGGCGAACACATGTGACCTGAGCGGGAAAACAAGCCTCCAACCCTAAGATTGCCAACATCGCACTCCAACTTTTCTCACTATAATGGCAAAATAACAGAGATAACAGAATTAGCACACACAGGCTTTATGAAATCATTTCATCTTTCGTTTATTACAATACGTTAAGAAGATTATTATTAAACTATGGAAAAACCTAGAGGATAATCCCTTAAAAAATAACTTTTTGCAAACAAGCTGACTTCTTGTGAAAACAACCTGCTGACCTACATTACGCTTATCTGCTCAACAATGAAATTACTGTGATCGCAACAAAATATGGTATTCATATAACCTTAAAGATCACCTAATATGAATAGTCATGCATTATGCATCACAAGATAATAGTAGGGACATCAAACATCCATAATCCAAAGTCTACCACACAAAAGCGTACGTGTAAAACAAAAAGAGATCAGTTACACTGAAAGCCCTCGTGGATCAACCATGCAGTTGCTTGGAATATTAGCTATTGCTGTTTACACAAATCAAAATGTTCACCTCCTTTTTCAAAGATAGATCAATAATAATTCATAGCTTTAGAAAGATGGACTGTCTAACTGTTGCATGCTGGGATTGAGGGACATGGGGGGATGAATGTGTGGAGACCAGCCCAGAGGTCCAGCTCTAATGTTTAGCTAATGATTGGCGTCTTAGTCTGAGAGGATAAAGGCAGAGGAAATGACTTGTTAGTATGGTTTGATATGTCCCGGATTCCACATTCACCTTCAACCGCTCTCTCAAATCTTCTCACCCAGATGAAAACATTCTCATTCAGCCCCTTCTTTATTTTCTTTCTTGCCTCTCTGATTCTAATCTTGTAAGCCATTATTTTTCTATTTCCCCTCTCTGTCACTTTGCATTATTTTTGGTGCTGTAATTCCTATTTGTCCCTTCTGGAATCTTCCTGTCCCGCTTTGTCCTCTGGTCTAATCCGGACTTCTAGCCTGTTGTCGGCCCCTGTTCCCCATTCTCAGTGGGGTTCAGATGGAATATCCATGCATGACGCCCCTTCTATGGCAACCACACCTCCACAGGAAGGCAACAGCAACTTTTCGGATGGGCAGAGAGGGCCTTTCAGAAGCTGGCAGCAGAAGTAAATCCTTCTCTAAGGAACAAGGGGAATTAGCAGGGAGCACTGGACTAGAGATTTAACCCTACCTCTCTCCTTTGAAAGGCCCAGTCACTCCGACTCCCGCGGCTAGCCACAATCAAACAGAGAGGGGGTGGGTGGATGCGGTGCAGAGAAGAGAACCCAGCTCCCTGAATGACACAAGCACTGGATTGTGGAGGACCCTAATCCCACTTTAATACCTTTCCAAGTTCAGCTCCTAAAGAATGCTCTTTAAAACAACACCAGTGTGTGAGCAGTGAAGGCCGACCAGGGGGAGGCACGCCATTCAACCTCCCTAACATTACCTGATTAGCAGATAGAGGCCCAGGCGGTGGGGCGAACATGCCCACGGGAGACAGGGGAAAGACGTGGACTATGATGATTACGCTGATCCATAAAAATACTATAATAAACACATCAACTTGGTTGTGCTGACTCCAGACATAAGATGAACAGGGTCTGCAGTTTGTAGTGTAGGCTAAGCCTAATGGGGCAAGAGGGAAGAGATGCAACAGTTGTTGGGCCAGCATGGTTAGATTATTACTTTCATCCAAACGTAGAAATATGATTATAAACTGGGTGGTTCGAGCCCTGAATGCTGATTGGCTGACAGCCGTAGTATATCAGACCGTATACCACGGGTATAAAAAAAACTTCATTTTTACTGCTCTAATTATATTGGTAACCAGTTTATAATAGCAATAAGGCACCTCGGGTGTTTGTGGTATATTTCCAATATACCACGGCTAAGGGCTGTATCCAGGCACTCCGCATTGCGTCGTGCTTAAGAACAACCCTTAGCCGTGGTATTTTGGCCATATACCACGCCTCCTCGGGCATTATTGCTTAATTATGACTCATAAGACAAAAAAATGACCAACTGACTCAATCAAAATCAATATCTGCTAAAGATCCATCAGTTTCTACTGCTGCCAATATGAACCCCTCTGAAGGCTGAGGTAGGACGTTTGTTGTGTGGTCACAGATAGAGCAGGGACCAAAAAGAGGACCACCAGCAGGATCCTCTGTCCCTGCTTTCGTTTGCAGTCAGGATCTGCTTTTCTCTCCTGCCACACCTGAGTGCACAGATCAGCCCATAAGACCCTCCTGTGTGGATCAATGATCACGATTCCAGCAGCAAAGTGTCAATATTTACCCAGACCTTCTCAGCATTGGACCTCATCACTAGAAGAAGAGATACTCTCAGCAGATACCTTTAAGAGGACTCCCAAGGGAATCATTATCTCCTTCCAATCCTTTGTCCACACAATTCCTCCTTCCATCCTTCCATCTCTTAGCACTCACCGTCTCTCTCTCTTCCCTCACTCTCTCCCTCTCTCTCTGTCATGTACACATTCTATCAGTTGAGATTTACAAGAACCGAGACTCTCACCTCGTTAGAGCAATGCACTATTACTACAGCATAGCATAGTTGTATTCGATATGGTGCAGCTATGAACCCTCAAAGCACCCCTTCAAATGGAGAAGACCAAACATTTTGACAAGCTTTGTCAGATAAAGATATTTCAAAAAATATCCCTGCATGGTTAAAGGCTAAGCAGTGCAGCTGAGAGGCCTCAGCCATGGGAGTGGTGGGTTTTCACCTCCCTGTTCCTCTTCTTTCTTTCTCCTGCTAACTTTCCCTTTGAACTGATTATAGGCAATTTAATAAAGTGTGACAACAACTTAAGCTTTCACCACATGTTGCCAATGATTTCCCACTAAAGACATTACTTTCAATGCTTCTGCCGCAGTGATAAGTATCAGTGTGAGTGGGTGAGCTAAAAGAGGAGGCCGGAGGAGAGAGAGGGGTATGGAGGAGTTTGTGGTTTGATAATCATGGTACATTTAGCAACACATGTTCTCGTATCACCTACTCCCCGTTTGCTATTGAATAACCAGAGAAATCCCTTAACAATTTAGTGAAGAATAGCCCAGGCTATTATGTCCTGGCATCCCCTTCAAAAGAAAGAAAGGATCAGGATTAACCCACGGAACAGCTGTAAACTATCACTTTGAAGATCCTCCTTGTTTCACTAGGAAGCGGGTGGGCCTGTGAGGCTAGCCATGTCAATCAGCCAGACGTGAGAGATGAGGTGTATGGGCCAGGGTCACAGCCACAGGAAGGCCTCCGGACACTGATTGCAGACTGAGGACCTGTGGAGCGATCGGTCAACACCGCATGGCTGGAAGCTCATTGATTTATTTACAGGCTACATCTCTGGCTTGACCTTTCTCTCCAACTATCCATCTCCACTGCAGTCCAACAAGAGCCCAAGCCGCCGGTGTCCTGGAGACAAAGGAGAAGGGTGGAGGGAGAGAGGGTTGAGAAGGGGTAGACCAGAGGCCAAAGTTACTGATAAACAGCAGCTCCATAACAGCTCCGATAAACAGCAGCTCCATGGTAACTCTGCTCCAATGAAGACTGGAGTGTAACTGCGTGAATATGAGGATGAGGTTTACAGTTGAACAGATTTACTGGTTGTGGATGTATTTTCATGCAAAAATATTAGATATCCAGATGTTCTTTGGTGCATAGATGAATAAAGGCGATCCCTTTCAACTTTATTTCAACATTTTGAAAATCACTTTATGTACAATTGTGTTGGTTACTACAGCACCCTCCATGTTAGATCACAGAGGCACATGTTCCAAATATAGCAGAACTACAACCCTACTTTTCTTACATTGATAACCACAGTTGTAAAACACACATAGAGGGGGACTTGACATGGGAGAGTATGGACTGTCATCATAACCAAATCAACACAAAACTTGCTCATTTACACTCAATCCAATTTCAAATCTAGAGCACACAATTGTAATCTAGCAGCATTAATTTTAATAATCCTAAAAGTATGGCTCAATAGCAGTATGGTCTCAGCATGTATCTTAGGTTGGTGTGTATAGATACGTATAGAAAGTAATGAAGCCAACTAGGAAGTGCCATCCTTCCAGTCCCCAGGGCCAGCTCCAGTCAGCTCCAGTCAGCTCTAAAAGCTGCTTAATCACCTCCCTCCCAACTCTTAATACATTAGCATAGTAATGGGCTTTAAATTGAGCCTCTGTTTTTTAATTAAACTCCCAGCAGGTAAAAGTAAAAGGCATTAGAGGAAAATGTGCATACCACTAATGGCCCAAAGGGTCCTTTTCCATCACAACAACGGGCGGCAGGTAGCCTAGCAGTTAAGAGCGTTGGGCCAGTAACCGAAAGGTTGCTGGTTCGAATCCCTGGTCCGACTAGGTCAAAAATCTGTTTATGTGCCCTTGAGTAAGGCACTTAACCCTAATTGCTCCTGTAAGTCTCTCTGGTTAAGAGCATCTGCTGAATGTAACAACTCTCTCACAAGACTGTCATTTGCTAAGATGTCTTGTTAAAGCAAGCTACATAATAGCTCATATGCACCTGCCCCAAAATGTCACTATGTTTAAAACATTATAAAGTGAGTCACAGTCTGGGCTGAGGAGGTGTTATTCTTGTCACTTGACCCCCACTGCCGGTCTGGCTCAGATGAACACAGTATTTCTATGACAACATGATTTCCTATGTACTGGAATGCTGAGAGATTTCTTCAGACAGGCCTCTGGCCACACAGACAGCCAGCCAGCTAGTCATATTAGTTTGGGCAATGTCACTCTATTACACAACAACACACAACAGTCCTCTGCTTTTAGTCAGTTGTGTCATGTCGTTTGGTATCAATATTAAATGTCTTCACATCGCATTATATGGCAAAATGTATCAACTTCTATAGCTGGTGTTTGTTCCCTTAAAATGTGTTATTTGTTTGTGGAGGTGTGCTCTACTGTAGCATGTTGGCCTTTCAGGATCCCCAGACACTGTAAACCCTGTGGGCATAACCTAACAGTCAACTGCAGGAGAATAAAAGGACCTGGGAGAGCCTCATCACACCTATAGGAAAAGGTCAGACAGTTAATCAGCCAGGGCCCTGACATGTCACTGCTGCCTATCACAATGCTCTGTCTATCATTTAAAAGACATTCTGCGGCACCAAGCATCAGAACACAGAGCCAAGAGCAACACCCACATTCCTCTAAGCATTGATCAACCTGTTGGGTACTTAAGTCTGACGTATGGAGTCCCATGGTGTTGGTGTTGAGTTTAAAGGCCTGCTTCTGCTACGTTATCACCATCGTTCCCATGAGTTTATAACAGATGCAAATTAACACCATACATTTAACCTCTGTCTTTTTCACTCTGTAGTCAAGAGAGCGAGCGGGATAACGTTCTCTGCATGTTAGGGAAAGAGTTGTACTTCTACAGGTGTAGGATCTTTATTTGACATATATTTTCTTTTCACATCAAAATAATTCTGCGCAACAGGATTTGAACATTTAGTCCATAATGTTGCTTCATCGGTGGTTAGCCTGGCCAAAAGTAGGGTACATGAAAAGTGCAATACTGTTAATATAATCATGTGTTATTGTGGGTTTTCAGTGAATGTATGTAAATCACAAAGCTCATCTGCATTCTCAGCAAGAAGAGTGATCAAATTAAGATCCTACATCTGTAGCACACAGCAAGAAAAAAGCTAGTGTTGAAATGTGAAAGGACAATGAAATGGCTGGCCAGCAGAAGAGGCTGAGTACACAACTAAGCCGGTGAGCAGGCAGCCAGGTACACAAGTGCTGTTTGGACAGCTGTAGTTTCTGAGGGTGGATGCTCAACGCAACATCACATTCAAGCTCTTCATCCACACATACAGTGTCATCACTAAAGAGTGGGTGAAAAAAACCCACAAAAATTAGCTAGTCTTACGATACATAGAATAGACTACCTTCCTGAATATTGCATCTACACGTACATTTGCTAATTAATAGCATAATATTCAAGGTAATCACCCGACTGTCCCTTTTTTTTCATAATGTCCAGTTGGTCTCAACTTACTGCTGAGAGTTAGAATAATATTTGGTTGTGCATCAGCAGTCACTCAATTAGCCCATGTCAGCTAAAAAATGTTTTATAGCGGCTGACCGGGGTGGGGCCCATTGATTTTCAGTTATCATATTAAAAACTGCAAACATTTGCCTCCACCCTATGGCAAAATGTGTAGAATTGCAGGAATTTAGCTGTAAAACTACACCTTTTTCTTTCCTTCCCATGGCATATTTTTTTTTAGAATTGCATGAAATGAGTTATAAAATTGCCCCTCATGATGAGTTCAATTTTTTTGTGGCCCCCACCCCCATCAAAGTTGCCAATCCCTGGTCTAAAGGTTTAGGTCCATTATGCCATTGTAACTGTCTCTAAACTGGACCTTTTTCTTGGATTCAAAACAGCTGAATTGATTCCACTACAAATGAGGCAGAAGGCTGTGAATTACCAGACTGGTATTAAGAGTGCTCTGCTTCTTCTCACTCCAAACCAGTCAGTCTAGCCGACAGTAACTGAAGCTGTTTGTATGGCCCATCTCACCTGCCGCCCTGCTGGAGATTTGACATCTTAACAGCACATGCGCTGCAAATGAGAGCTGCTGAGAACAGAGCAAGGGCTGGGGATAGCTCCCATTTAAAGCCACTGTAAATTCCTCTGCACCCATTTTATATTTGTAATAACTGTATTGCAGGGCTCTCTGTCTGTCCCTTCCAAGCTAATCTAGGTGAGGTGCAGCAGACCCACCATTAAGGGCTTGGCCCACTCAATGAGGCATCCTGGGTGATTGCTTCTTTTGAGAGAGGGAGCTGGCGATGGCTAGCTACAGTTGGAGTAATAGTTATAAGATGTTTTGGAGTATACTGCGGCCTATAACTGCCCACAGATACAGTCAGCTCTTATGACAGTGGACCTGAGGCCTGCTGTACTTAGGGCAGCAGTTAGGGCAGAGGAGGCTCTGGGTCTGTGTACTCATTACCAGCCACTGCATCTGAGGGCTGACATCATCCTTCAAGCATGGAGACACTGTACTGTAAAAGCACAGTACATAAAATAAACCAAGAGTAATGGCTAATGTTCCAGTTTTTTTTTCTGTAAGTAAATATGGAGGTCTTTGATGATGAATGACCTGATCCTCCATCAAACACCAATCTAAGAAGAAATGTTAAAGCCACACAAAAAAAACTTTAAACTCAACTCAACACAATACAGAAGTGCTACTAGGAATCAAGATGCACATGGCTGTTTAAATTTATTGAATAATGGGGTTCTAATTACTAAAAACTGGAATTATATTTGGGGACTTTTTGGGGAGAAATAGATATGTAACATCAGCTTTTACATTCAGCTGTGAAATTGTTAAAAAGAAACATTTGGAGCGGAGGGCTTTATAATTACTATTGACCCCAGAAGTTCCTGGACTAAGAAATAAAACAAACAGTAATATAAGGTGCTCTGCAAATATGCAAAGACAGGGTCTGGTGGAGAACATCACGCATTGGTTTCTTTTCTCAGCTCCTAATCTGTGGCGAACACAATATTAAAATGGCTTTGGATCCACTTGTGACCCAGCTATTCACTAATGAAAAATTCCACAGCTCCGTGCAGAGGCCAATGGGGCCTGCCCCTCTACCCCAAACCATGCCCTGTCCATCTTGTGGAGTTTACCATGGCTGAAAAGACACTGGATTAATAGGTAGAGAGGGATAGTCAGACAATCTGGAAGAGAATCCCATGTGTGTTTTCCCCCTCCGCTTCCTCTCAACTTTAGGATATTGGTGCAGACAAGTGTTTGCCCAGGTTTTAATTATCAGCAATGATGTGGTGATTATTGTGATGTTGAATAGTTGGGTGAGGGGCTCTATTTATTCAACAGAGATTCAGCCTAAGCCTAAAATCAGTCTGAAGAGAAGAATCCGAGGCAGCCAGGGCTTAGCTTTTGTCCATGGGAGCTGGACTCGTCTGTTTGTGTTCCTGCTTTTTCACTCTCTCCACTGATTCCCTGTCTTTCTCAGCAATGTAAACCTCTTAACTCAGACTGCTCTGATCCACTGGTTTGATATCACTTTCGATGGAGATCAGCTTGAATTATCCTTGGCTATTATCTCAATTACAGAAAAGCACTGATTAGAAGAAATAAAAACCAAAATGTTAAATTTCCAGCACAATTATCACAGAAATTCTAAATATATTTCATTCATTCTCAAGGGTCCGGAATTGAACATCCCCCTTCAGCCCTCATGTTCCTGTCTGGCTAAGTATACAAATGCACATTTAATAGGCATACTGGAGGTTGGCACCCAGCTGTGAACAGCAAGGCACACAGAGAAATACAGTCAACAGCTGCTCATCTGACTCCCCTAGTTGACTCTGAAAAAATGATTTGGGTTGTAAAATGAAATGATTTATATAATTTCATAATGTCATACGTTGTCCAATTTACAAAAGATTCCCTTAAAACGTGGGGTCTTAATTCCAAAAAGGTTTTGACAGGATTTGCCCAGAGTGA